CTGAGAACCCAGAAATGGACCCAAGACATTATATTCGATTAATATTTGACAAAGGTGGCAAGAGCATACAGTCGAGTAAGGACAGCCTCTTCAATAAATGGTTTTGGGAAAGTTAGACAGCTAAATGCAAAAAAATGAAACGAGACCATCAACTTACACCATACACAAGAATAAACTCAAAATGGATAAAAGAGTTTAATGTGACCCGTGAATCCAAGAAATTCTAGAAGAAAATGTAGGCAACAAAATTTCAGACATCATATGCTGCAGAATTTTACTGATTCATCACCTAAGGCAAGAGAAACAAAGAAAAAAATAAACATATGGGACTACATCAAACTCAAAAGCTTCTGCACAGCAAAAGAAACAACCATCAAAATGGAAAGGCAACCCACTGTATGGGAGAACATCATTGCCAATGATATATCAGATAATGGGTTAATTTCCAATATATATAGTGTGCTCATACAACTCAACAAAAGGAAGGCAAAGAACCCAATTAAAAAATGGGCAGAGAAACTAAATAGACACCTCTCCAAACAGGACATACAAATGGCCAAGAGACATACGAAGAAATGCTCAACATCACTAATCATCAGAGACATGCAAATTAAAACAACAATGAGGTATCACTTCACACCTGTCAGAATGGCCCCCATCAACAAATCATCAAACAACAAGTGTTGGCGAGGGTGTGGAGAAAAGGGGACTCTAATACACTGCTGGTGGGAATGCAGACTGGTGCAGCCGCTGTGGAAAACAATATGGTGTTACCTCAAAAAACTAAAAATTGAACTTCCATTTGACCCAGTGATCCCACTGCTAGGAATATACCCTAAGAAGCCTGAAACACCAACCAGGAAGAATATATGTACCCCCATGTTCATAGCAGCACTATTTACAATAGCTAAGATCTGGAAACAGCCCAAGTGTCCATCAGTAGACGAATGGATAAAACAGCTGTGGTACATATACACAATGGAGTACTATGCAGCGGTAAGAAAGAAAGATCTCTTATCCTTTGAGACAACATGGAGGGACCTGGAAAGTACTATCCTAAGTGAAATAAGCCAAGCAGAGAAGGACAAATACCACATGATCTCACTTATATCTGGAATATAATGAACATAACAGTCTGAGGAACACGGTAAACACAGATACATGGAAGTAGGGCACAGAGTGACATCACTCAGAAGAGGGGGTGATGGGGGGTGGGAAGAGATAAACCACAGAACTTATATGCATGTCTGCATAACTAACGGACATGGACAATAAAGCCGGGGGTGATGGGGAGGAGGGTGTCAATGGGGTAAAAAAGGAGAAACATCTGTAACAAAAATAAATAAAATATTGTTAAAAAAAATAATAAAATAGCTGCACTCTTAACTAAAAAAAGAAAAGAAAAAAAAAAAGAAATTGACCGCATTCTTATACACCAACAATGAACTCATAGAAAGAGAAACTAAAACAAAAAATCCCATTTACCATTGTGGCAACAAAATTAAGATACCTAGGAATAAACTTAACCAAAGAAGTAAAGGACCTCTTTGCAGAAAACCACTGGTCATTGAATAAAGATATAGAGGAAGATATAAAAAAGTGGAAGTATATACCTTGTTCATGGAATGCAAGAATTAACATCATTAAAATGTCCATACTACCCAATGCAATCTATATATTTAATCTCCATCAAAATACCGACAAAATGCCAACTACATATTTTACAGAGGTAGAACAAATACTCTAAAAGTTTATATGGAACCAAAAAAGACCCAAAAGAGCCACAGCAATCTTGAAAAAGAACAATGAAGTAGGAGGGATCACAATACGCGATATCAGGTTATACTACAAAGCCATTGTAATCAAAATATCCTGGTACTGGCACAAGAACAGGCATATAGATCAATGGAACATAACAGAGAACCCAGAAATGGACCCAAGACATTATGCTCAATTAATATTTGGCAAAGGTGGCAAAGAGCATACAGTGGAGACAAGACAACCTCTTCAATAAATAGTGTTGGAAAAATTGGACAGCTACATGCAGAAATATGAAGCTAGCCCACCAACTTACACCATACACAAGAACAAACTCAAAATGTATAAAAGACTTAAATGTGACTTGTGAATCCATAAAAATTCTAGGCAACAAAATTTCAGACATCACACACAGCAGAATTTTCACTGATACAATGCCTAAGGCAAGAGAAACAAAGAAAAAAATGAACACATGGGACTACATCAAACTAAAAAGCTTCTGCACAGCAAAAGAAACAATCATCAAAATGGAAAGGAAACCCACTATATGCTAACAATACATCAGATAAGGGGTTAATTTCCAAAATATATAGATTACTCATACAACTCAACAAAAGGAAGACAAAGAGCCCAATTAAAAAATGGGCAGAGGACTTAAAGAGACATCTCTCTAAACAGGACATACACATGGCCAAGAGACATATGAAGAAATGCTCACTGTCACTAATTATCAGAGAGAAGCAAATTAAAAACAATGAGGTATCACCTCACACCTGTCAGAATGGCTGCCATCAACAAATCATCAAACAACAAGTGTTGGTGAGGGTGTGGAGAAAAGGGGACTCTAGTACACTGCTGGTGGGAATGCAGACTGGTGCAGCCACTATGGAAATCACCACGGTGTTACCTCAAAAAATTAAAAATTGAATTGCCATTTGACCCAGTGATCTCACTTCTAGGAATATATTCTAAGAAGCCTGAAACATTAATCACAAAAAATATATGTACCCCTATGTTCATAGCAGCACTATTTAAAATAGCTAAGATCTGGAAACAACTCAAGTGTCCATTAGTAGATGAGTGGATAAAAAAGCTGTGGCACATGTACACAATGGAGTACTATGCAGCTGTAAGAAAGAAAGATCTCTTATCTTTTGAGATGGCATGAAGGGATCTGGAGAATATTATACTAAGCAAAACAAGCCAAGGAGACAAAACAAATATCAAAAATCTCAGTTATTTGTGGAATACAATGAACTAAACTAACTGATGAACAAAATTGACCCAGAGACATAGAGATAGGGTACAGACTGTTAAACCTCAAAAGGGGGTGTTGGAGGTGGGGAGATAGACCACAGAACTTATATGTATGTATGCATAACCAATGAACATAGACAACAAAGCTGGTGATGGGGCAGGGTGGTGATAGGGAAGAGGGTGTCATTGGGGAAAAAAGGAGAAACATCTGTACAAAAACTATATTAATAAAAAAATTAAAAAATAAATAAAGGAGCTTCCACCAGAGGGGAAAACAAACAAATGATGCTGCTATATGCACAACTCTTTAATACTTAAAAAGAAATCTCTGTTGTTGAAAATGTATTAAAAAGTAAATCTTCATATATCCAAACTTTGTGTGAGAGCAAATTTCAATCGGGAAGGGGTTATATATACTTGACCATATGTCTATAGTTAGTAAATTGTATATTGCTCATTCCATGTATGGGTTTATTATTCTCAACAAATCTTTTTGTTGAATATATAAAGTCCTAAGTTTTAAAGTAATTCTTCATATACTTTTAATGAGAATCGGATAGAGCTGTCAACATTTATGGTTTCTGTGTGGTTGCTGAAGGTGGTTAAATTGGTCAAGAACAGACTAATAAATACCTAAGGAGGCTTTCTCATTTAGGTGTGCCTTCTTAGCCTTTCATGAATCTTAAAGTGAGAATAATAATGCTTCCTGTATGGAAGATAACAGTTTAATTGGATGTCAGTAAACTTCTTGAATGTATTACTATGTCACTAAAGATAAGCATGTTTTAAATAATTTATCATTTAATTATAATCAATGGAAAGGCAAGTATCCATAGATAGATACTTGTTTGCAGACATTTACCTAATTGAATTGCCTTACATTCTTTACAGAGAGAGTATTAGAATTCTGAGTCAATTTCTATAAAAAGGTATTTATTTATTAAGTAGTTATTTTCTTGGATGGCATATTAGGTCTTCTGCAGAATCAGAAGAGAGATGATTGAGGAAAAAGGTAAAGGGTCGACAACCCGAATCATCTGTTCAAAACTCACATTTACCATTTATTCATTAATTCACCAATCATTTCTTGAGCATCTGCTATGTGTCAAATGCCATGCTATGAGCTGAGGACTCAACGTTGAATAAAATAAAGTCAAGTCCTTGAAAAGTTGTCTCTATCAGAGGAGACAGACCTATCAATGAACAGTACCATGAGGTACTAACAGACAAATGTGCAGATGTTGTGAGAGGTGGAAGGAATGAATGACTGTGCTTGGTGGGGAGTCAGGAGCATCTTTATTCAGGAGTCTTGAGGGAGTCATGACTCACTGAGAAGATAGGGGACCAGAGAAGGGCATTTCTGGAAAAGCAAACATGGACAAAGTCCACAGTGGTTAGATCAGAGTGTGGAATGTTGACAAGGTAGAGGGGAGCTCAACCAGATACACAGGATCATGAAAGAGGAAAACCTGGGAGTAAAGCTGAAAAGGTAAATAGCACTTTGGGAAAGGCCCTATATTTCATGCTGAGGATTTCAGACTTTCTCTTGGAAAGAATGATTTAATTATATTAAAATGGGCAAATGACCTGATCAGACTCTAACAGAAAATCATGGAAATACTTAGTGAAGAAGACATTGACCCTCCACAGATAATTGAACAATTGCCCTTCAGAGCAGCTTTTTGGGATGCTCATTTGAAAAAGAAACTTTTCTCCCTGACCAATTTGGCTCAGCGCTTAGAGCACCGACCTGCGGTCCAGAGAGACCCGGGTTTGGTTCCCGCTAAGGGCACGTACCTTGGTTGCAGTTTGTCCCCGGCCCTGGTTGAGTTGTGTGGGTGGCAGCCACTCGATGTGTCCCTTTCACGTTGATGTTTCTCTCTCTCTCTCTTCCTCTCTCTCCCTCCCACTCTATCTGAACAAAAAATAGAAAAGTGTCCTCCGGTGAGGATAAAAAAAAAAAGAAAAGAAAAAGGAACTTTTCAATACTTACCTGGCAGGGGAGGTACCATGATCACGAAGGCGGTTTCCCAGGGGGAGGCTTATCCATTGCTCTCTGGGTGTGCTGACCCCGCGATTTCTTCAAGTGTGGGAAACTCCACGCATAACTTGTGGTGGTGGGGACTGCATTTGCGCTCTCCCCAGAAAAAAGAAATTTTTGTTCAAATAAGTTTGAGAAAAACTTCGTACTCAATTCTCTCTCAAAGACACATTATATACCAGAACTTATTAGAGGCTCTGTGAAGACCAGCATGAAAAAGGCAGTTGGTTAGCTCAGTATTTCCCAAACCTACATGGCCATAAAATGTGGTTGCCTGCTGAAATAGTGGCCATCCAATTTAAAGGTGAATTTCAGATAAACAACAAATATATATTTTAATATAAGTAAGGGATATTGCATGGAACATAGTGTGTGGAATTAGAATTCCGAGGAACCCCTGAGCAACCTTTAACTCTCTAAGATATTTTATGACCTGTCTCTGATGAGACAAGAAAAGAATTCCACTCCCCAGAACTCCATGCACCCTTGAGAGACCTGTTTGATGGAAATTAAACATCTTTATATTAACTGTGGTAAGTACTGAGTATTTATCTTTTTTTTTTTTGTAATGGGACTTTATTAGCAATTTTCAAATATATAATACAGTACTAGTAACTATAGTCACTGTGCTCTACATTACGCCCCCACGACTTACTTATTTTATAACCAGATGTTTGTACTTTTTGACCCCCTTAACCAATTGCACCCGCTCCCCAAACCCCGCCTCTGGCAACCACCAATCTGTACTCCATGTGTATGAGGTAGATTATACATCTATCTATATGAGATCATACAGTATTGTTTTTTCTGTCTGACTTATTTCACTTAGCACGGTGCCTTCAAGTTCTAACCATGTTGTTGCACATGGAAATATTTCCTTCTTTTTGTGGCTACATTATATTCTATTGCATATATATAGAATACCATTTATCTTTAATTTAAAGTATCTTTTGTATTTTACTTTATTTTTCTTCATTCCTCAGTAACTATATGCTAGTGTAAATAAAAGTTGTCCTTGTCATTGATGATAAAGAAAAGTATTTCCCTTCCAGTGATAGGGCTTCATTAATTAATCTAACATCAAACACCTGCCTGTTGAGAGGCTGCCATGTACCAGGGGCTGGGGATGCAAAAATGTACAAAGAAGGTAATTTCCTGCCCTGTGTGGCCGTACAGTACGGTGGCCGGCCTAAGCCAATCTGTGCTCCTCTAACCAAGCACTCTAGCTTCTCCCCATCTGGCTCCTGACAATTTGTGTAGCCTCGCCTCCCTCCCACTATCCCCCAACCTGCCCCTTTCTCTAGCCCTATTGACAGTCCCAGATATACTGAGATTTTGTACATCTGTGCTGTGGCACGTGCGACGCCCTCTCCCAAGAATGCCCCTCTTCTCTCCTCCCCTCTTCATTTTCTTCACGTCATACTTGGCCTTCGGGGTGAAGTCTAAACATGAATCTTGGCAGCATTTCCTGACACCAGCTCCCCCAGTCTGATTGGAAGCCCTTTTTTTCCTGTACTCCAAATATTCCTCCCTACTATTGTGCAACTGTATCATAACATTTAGCAAATAAACTTGCTGCAATTGATGGTTTATATAAGTCTTTCCCCCACAATAGTCTATTAGCTACTTGACACATTTATGTCATTTTATTTTTACCACCTGACACCACCCCAGCTAGACATTCTACAATTGTTTGTTGAATGATAAATTGAGGGTCAATACCTTTCTGTCTTATAGCAACAGAGTCACATTCATCCTCTTCTGTTGTCATCATGATACTAATTTATTTTGAAATGAATAGTCAGTAAGAAAATGTCATCAATTATTTTCCATCTTGTGAACTATAGTACACCAAGTTGAAAGACAATAGAAAAACTTGAAGCACCCTCTGAAAAAGAATTTTAACTAGTGCTACTTACTGGTTGCTAAAAAATATGACCAACACCATGCTTGAGGTAGTTAGGAGGAAGCTACTTGACCCACAAAGGCTCTTTGTCAAAGAGGCCAATTTATAAGTAATCATAGTGGTTCTGCAAATGGCAACTGCGGTCCCCAACCCAGGAACAATATTTACGTCTCCTCAGAGTGGTAACAGGGCCGGGCTTGCCTTGCTGGGAACAGTCACAGCCCACGCTCAGATAAGAATTGTTTTGAGTAGTATCACCTGCAAATGCCAAATGCCAGAAGGAAAGTTAGAATTATCCTGTTAGAAGGTAATAGAGTTATAATTTATTTAATTATGACTTTATGGAAATAAGAGTTAAGAATGAACATGCAAGCATACCTCTTCTATTTCTTTTCCTTCCACTCCATTTCTATAGTACCCGTCTCTCCTGATCCCATTTTTACCACCCAACCAAGACAGGCGAAGAGACACAGCAGGGCCCTAGTTCGAAGGCTGAAGCCCTTAGAATGGAGAGAATGGCTTTCATGGCAGGGCCCTCATGCTGTGTCCCTTGTGGATCCAAACAGAAGTGTGCTCCCCCCTTTCCTAGCCACACCTCTGATTGTGAGTAGTTGTTTTAAAACTTCCACTAAGAAGACTGAAACGTAGCCCTCTCATCCAAAACAACTTGCATATGCCCTGGGAGGCTTGGCCTCGAGACCTGGGTGATAATGGGGTTTCTCTCTGGTCATGGTTTGGGATTGTTGGGCTGGGATGGGAAGGTGAGTGAAGGCTGGAGAGGAACATCAATAGGCACACACTGTAGTGTTGAAAAATGCCTGTGGAGTTTTGCACTAAGCTTTTGAGGTTCAGTTTATTTTAAGGAATGTTTATAAGGCATTCATGGTGTGACAAGATCAGGTGCTAGAGATGTACTAGTTTGCAAGGTAGATACAATCCCCGCCCTCACTGCACTTGTGGGCAAGTACATACAGGACATACAGACAAGTGTTATGATAAGGGACTCATGAGATGCTAACACACCAGAGGATATAACAGCCTGCTAATCAGAGACAACACATGGGACTGTCCAGCCCTTCTGTATGGAAGAGTAGATAGCTGCCTTGAGCATCTTGCTCTGATCAAAGCAAGTCAAGGGTCTGCATTGGGGAACAGAACATCTATAGTTTCTCCAAGGAACTGAGAGCGAGAGAGCAAACAGAGCCCGCGGTGGTGGAATCCGTGATGGCAGGGGTCAGGGTGAGGAGTGGCAGGGCGTGTCTAAGGTGCTAGCTGTGACAGCCAGGACTGTGTTCCAGCAGTGAGGAAGTAAATGGCAGCTTGACGTTGTACTGGAAAGACAAGACGATTAGCAGCCAAAAGACAGTACGAGCAACATGGTGCCTTAGGACAAGGAAGAGCAGCCTGAACAATACCTGGGTTTGTGGAAGGATTTACCTGGGAGTACATGCACTCTGCTGGATGTATTTGTAGTAATTGGTATTTTACAATGATGCTGTTTCCCAACATTGCTGTTAGGACTGAGTTCCAGCAAGAACCTGGGATAATGAGATTCCTTGGCAATGAGGCCCCTGAAACGGTGTTAGAGATAAACTATAAAACAGACATCTGCACTGTGTCAGGGTGCATTTAACAAGACTTTGGTGTCTATCTGTATTTTTATGATTGGTAGATCTGCAAGGCAAATGAGCACAGCAGGTCAAAATAGTTACTATAGTAAGAGTCAGTGCAAATTTTGGGATCTATTAAACATTTCTTTGAATTAAAGATGCATCCTCACCCAAGGATATGTTTTTATTGATTTTAAAAAGAGAGGAAAGGGTGGGGGGGGGGGGAGAGAGATGTGAGAGAGAAACATTGATCAGTTGCCTTCTGTGCATACTCCAACCGGGGAGTGAACCTGCAGCCTAGGTATGTGCCCTGACCTGGAATCAAACCTGCAATGTTTTGGTGAACGAGACGATGCTCCAACCAACTGAGCCACCGGGCCAAGGCAAGAAGCTTACTATTTTGATAGTGCTTTCTCTAAAATAAACTGAAATGCAGAAAATCCATTAATTTGTGAAATCCTCAGACCCCACAATGTCCTTTCATAAAGACACTTAAAGTGTCTAGAAATTTAAATAAAACGAGCAGTTGTCACTGGAGTTACTTCTAGAGATCACACTCCAACCCAACACCTTCATTTTCCTTTACACTAAAAACTAGAGCCTGCCTTCTGGTATTGCCATGAATTATTGGCAATAGGTTGAACATTGCTCTAAAATACAGAGCACAACAATCTCTTTGACAGACTGAAAAATGGTATGTGTCAAAGAAACAACCCTTCAGTACTGACCAAAATCAAGTCCTTCATCGTCATAAAAGCAATAAATAACCCTTTGTGGATTGAAATCCGTGGTGTACTCACCCCACTTCCAACATTGGCAGGACCCAGGCAAGAGCAGAAATGGAGGTCCACATAACATAGGTCTAAAATTTATAAACCGACTTGCTAAACAAAATATGTACTCTTTCTGTATTGATGAATGTACTTGCATGATTGAAAGTCAAAGCCAAATATAGACTTCTTGGACCACTTGGAATTGTACTCCTATAGGTCCCTCTTCTCTTCTCACTATAAGCTCCATCCTGTACTGTGGGGGCCTTGGCCACGTGGTACGTGTGGACATCCTTGCCTTGCACATATAAGCTCTATTCACCTCCCGCCACCTTCCCAGCAGCTGCTCAGGGCCCCGTGTGGGCTAGGAGTGGGTATTCTGGCTGTTCTGTCTGCCCTCAGGCCAGACTAAGAGAAGAAACCAGAGCAAGCCCTGGAAGAGGGCTCCGTGTTGTTCGGGCAGGAAATTCCAGGGTCTCGGGTACCTGGAGTGTGAGTGATCTAGAAGAGAGGTTATGAGCTCCAGGTTGGTGTATCCCTTTGGCTATGAAGGGAGGCTGTGGCCGGAGAAGAGAGAGCTCCCTGACGTATGGGTCCAGGGCAGAAACCTTTCCTGCTCGCAGCATAGGATGGGTACTAGGTAGCTTCCTTGCACGCGACTCAGGGCTGAAACCACCTTGAACAGGGTTCTGCTCTCGCAGAGTGTCTTGCTTACTTCCCTAGAATAAACACCAGGAAATGCCATTCTCCATGGGCAAACAGCCCAGGAGAAGGCAAAGTGGCTTCCGGATCTTACTGGAAGTTTGAGCTGCAGAGAG